GAGATACAAGTGAAATAGTTAAAATAGGTTTAAATCCGGTAAAGTTTGTTTGTAGTTAAGCGCAAAGCTACACAAAGGGCTATCTGTGCTCTGCCCACCACGGGTATCGAAACCCGGATTCTAGCGGATTCTGGGGGGCAATCCGGTAAAGACTGTGTGATTTAGGGACGGAAGAAGAGTTTTTATGTATAATGTTTCTTTTATAAGAAGTTCAGTATCATGTTTGGCTGTTATTAAATTTTGAGAGAGAAATCGGATGTCCTGTTTCTGTATCTTCTACGTCATAACCAACGCATGCAAACAAATACCATGTCGTATTGCCATAAGAAACAACGCAGCGAAATGGTTAAGGTTGTTTGTAATTGAAGAAATCGTTAATATAATTTAAGATCTTGCTAAAATTACGTGTTTGTTTTGAATTTCGCGCAAAGCTACACGAGTATACGACTAGAGGGAAGGCAGCTAGTCATCACCACCCACCGCCAACTCTTTTACCAACGAATAGTGGGATTGACCGTCACCTTATAACGCCCCCACTGCTGAAAGGGGCTGAAACAAACCAATGAATATTTTTTGGAAGTAGTTTATATGACGTCATTAAGGTTGGGTTATTAACCAGTAAAGTGTATCACCTTGTTGTAGTTAGTCAGCGCTAAGTACACGGACTTACAAAGCTAAAATCTCCATCCTACCATGATAAATAGAGCAAAGATAATTTATTGTGCTAAAACAAAGCATACCTGGTGGTAACTTTGTACTGCTAACTTTTTATTTCATTTGAAGCTGTTTTTTGGTAACTGTCACGTGGATTTCTCTGTTGTTGTTTTTTAAAAAAACAGCAGGACTTGTATGTGAAGATTGGTGTTCTAAAAAGTCAGTGTATTGTGTTTGTCACGTTCATTAATGCAGTTCCTGCAATATTTACTGCTTCTCCATCATGAACTGAGTTCCTTACGTTTGTCACGTTCACTACAACTAATACTGCCTTAATATAATTATATAATTTCGGAAATGATTATTTATTTTCCATCATGTTTACTAATAAATCTTGTTTTGCTAAAAGTAAACCAGAATATCTATTAACTCAAAACCTCGTGCTCTTTAGGGTCAAATCTATGAACGAGGACACAATTTGACAACATTCTAACTTTCACACGTGTTAGTTCTCTACTTTAAAAATGTGAATCTCTCTTTTTTTTACGTAGAAAAAATACCTTTTTAATTAAAACCTTAAGTTAGACATTACAAAATTGTTTTTCAGATGCTGGACACGTGAAAATTATATCGTTATTTTGGACCCTCACGTGTCAGTCTTTTTTACATAACACATGTGCACGACAGAAAACCCAATATACAGGAAACATACTCAACTATAGCAATAATTACTTGTAATTTTTTTTTATTC